AGTGTTTCCTATAATGAGCAGGACAAGGTGAAGCAGAAAGTTCCAGACAGTTCTATGTGCATCACAGGTCATYATAGCTTCCCTGTATTGTCTGAATGAAGACATGTTGGAGGTGGTCTACTACACCTACCTTAGGAAGTGATATACAGCTTATAGACAGTTTATCAGATGGTGCTACCACTACCTTGGTGAGAAAGTCTGAGCACTGATACCTGCCTGTGTCATTCACAAAATCAGGAAGAGACTTCTGCTACAAGAGGGACAATATATTGTTTTTAATTACGCTGAGTAACTAATTTACTGTTCTTATCATTTATGATCCCGTTTAGACCACACAAAGTAGTACAGTCTTACATCAACTTATCTGACAGTTAATTAACTGATTTTTGTCTTGTGTCAACCAAAATGTGATGTTCAATAATAATAAAAAACGCAACAGCAACAACTGACACACATCATTTCATTTGGAACAACTTGGTCACAAGAAAAACAACAATCRATACTTCTATAGYACACATTTAAAAATATTAAAATTTAGAAAAGTGCTGGCAAAACAATCAGCTGGTGTTGAAGCGTGACGCGGTCTGTCACGGCCCGGGTTTTATCTGGTCCTTCACACGCTGAGCTGGGCGGCTCTGTTCTGCAGTCTCCAGCTGCTCCATCCAAGAACTCGTCTTCTCGTAGAGACGGAAACACGGCCATCAGATCACCCATATCAGCTGAAAGATATGTAATAAAAACAAACATTTGTAGATGGTAATGGTGTACATGAATTCAAAAAATCTGTCCCATATTTAAAAAGGAATTCATCTAGAAGTTATGTAAAGTACTGAAGAAAAAGTGTTTTAAAAAAGATCATTTTACCATAAGCAGCTTCTTAAGAACAGTTTTCATATTCTGCTGTGGCATCAGCAAGGACCTGAAATGTACAGTAAATGATAAATGATCAGCTATCTGTATAGAAGAAACAACATGAAAGGATGGTATGGTAGAGAAAAAAACAACAAATAAATAATAAATAAAATGTGTTGTATGCACAGTTTACTTACTTTTAATTACTATGGAGGCACCTATCCCATATAATCATGACTCGCTTTATGTATTGTTAACAAACTGCTATGATTTATATTTATTTTATTTTTTGTCTACCGTAAATAATTTCAGGGTTCTTTGAATTTCTGTCTCTCAGCTATGACTGAGAGTGCCTTTAGCTATAAATTAGATTGAAATGACACAGGAGGAAATGTAATTTCCTTCAGAATATTTTCTTTACTTTGGCATGGTTTTAAAATCATATAAACATTGTGATTAAGTGGTTTCAATGCATATTAATTTGGGTTTTTTTTAAATAAAAGGTTGAGCAGAGCAGGTCTTCTGGACAGGTTCTTTTATAAAACAGAGATGAAACGTTTCACTGAAGATCCCATTCAGAGGAGCTGCTCAACCTTTTTTTTTTTTCCACCTGGATTACTGAGATACATCCGGACAGATTAACTTGGGACTTACCGTAATCTTGTTTCGTTGACGACACAAGCTCTGGGGGTGAGTTGTGATCTGCAGCTGGACGTGGTTCTGGCAGGACCGGTCTCAGCTGTCGCTCCACCGTGCTGCTCGGCCTGGTTGGAACGCTGCCACTGGCGCATGTTTGCGCACCCCTCTCCCTGCCCACGCCGTCGGCAGCAACACACGTTTATGTTGTACTGAACAACCGAGTGACTCTTTTAAAGTGGAGACAAAATGAAAAGAGTCCGACTGAAAATGTTCAGAGCAYAGACGCGACGGTAGGCTTCACTTCTCGTGAGTCTTGACCTGCTTCACACACTTCAGACGAAGCTCAGAATCCTTAGGAAAAAAATAACACCGTTCTTGTGGGCGTTCSAACAAAATCCTGTGATAAGCTATGATGTGAAGGTATTATTGTTATTTAAAACCATCAAAACTCCGAAAACTTCAAGAAATATCCGTCCGTCCGTTTCCTTTCACTACGAAACTACTAGCTTTAACAAAGCTGAGGGGATTTCTGGCGGCGACGTCACTTCTGCTTTCTTCCTCGGACAATAATAGACACTACACTTCTCCTAAATTTGCCCTGTTTTTTGAAAACAAGGATGTTATACAGGCGCGCTTGTAATTATTAGATCTTCAGGAGGGACTTTTTGGTTTATAAAAAAAAATGGCAAAAAATGTGAATATCGTGTCATCAGCTCTTTAATGCAAAGCAATAAGCAGGAAAACCAACTTTCAAGCTTTGATAATTGCACTAAAGTTTTACTACATTCTGGTTTTGTAAATATATAAAGATGGCTACTCTTTCCAGGACAGGAAGTAAAGTTTTCCCTGTCCGTCAGCGCACACCAGCTCCCCGGGTTTCCTCGGGTCCATCTCCAGAAACAGAACCGGACCTCCACACACAAACATTCCCACCTGAGGAGGACAAGGAAAAATACCCAAGATGAAGATCAGTTTTTAATTGAACGCTGGAAATTAAATTACAGAGGGACGGATGAAAAAAGTGTTGGATTATTAGAATAAAACCGTGATGTTAATTAGAATTCTGGAATTAAAATCTGAATTCTGGCCTTTTTTTCCTTCTAAATCTGAGAATCAAGTCAAAATTCCAACTTCAATCTAACAAATTAGTCAAAATTATGAAATTAATGTCAGAATTGTGACTCTAATCTCGGATTTTTTTTCTGTGGGGGCAACTCTCAATATGAGCCTAACCCCTTTCTGTACAATCCTRTCAGCTGTAGGGAGGTTAATCCCTGACAGGTGTAACGCACCTGTTTCTTCGTGTTTCGGTCCCACAGCTTCACGGTTCGGTCGTAGGAGGCGGAGACGATGGTTCTGTCCGTCAGTCTCAGATTAGTAATTCTGTCACTGTGAGCCTGACGACAAAAATAAAAAAACATTAGAGAATTATTTAGCATGAATGTTCTCAGATTCTCCATCAGGAGCAGACGAGACACTTTTTTTAAATTTGAGATTCAATATTTGAAATAAGACTGGTTTAAAGAATAAGACTGGATTATAGAAGAACAATTCTATAATAAAAACAATTTTATTTTTCAAAACAAAACATCCTAAAACTCTATGTTAGGCAGACATGAGGTCTCAGTTTAAGAGTCTCAGTTTAAGACTGAGGCCTGGTTGGTCTTTTTGACCCAAGGGCAGCAGGAGGGGTTAATGCTTTTATTATAGGAAAAAAATGATTTAAAAKATTTTATCTTGAGCTACAGATGATAAACACTCGACACATTAAAGTGATTTTACTTCAGAAAATAGCTTCTAGATAAATAAACAATCTTAAAAATACAGAGGCAGGTCGGTCGTTTCTTACGAGTTTTTTGTTGCTCCAGGAGGAAATATCTGGCTGCTGATTGAACCAAATGTTTCCATCCACATCTCCACACACCACGAACTCTGAAAACACACACGCACACACCACATTAAAGCTGCATCGATTGATTGACTGGTGGACTTCAGGTCAGCATTAAAGTAAGAATCTGGAGTGTTTCTTCAGCTCCAGTCATCTGGAGTGATGAAAACAGAAACCAGGTGTGTGTTTAGTTTTGTACCTCGGTCTATGGTCAAAGCTGTTATAAGAGCTCCCATTTTGTCTTCATTACACTTCATTTGTACCGAGCTGAAGGATGAATGTAGAGTGGTGTCAGGGCCGAGCCAAAACTGTTAAAAAATATACATTTYTTTTATTTTCCAGCTGTAAACCCCTTTTAGGGCTAAAACAGAACAATTAGAGTGATTTTATTAAAGTGTACAGAGTACTGCACAGATTAGACTCAAGTTATTCTAACACCAAGACAAAAGGAGGTATGTTGACTCAGAGGACATGAACCATCTGTCAGTGTAAAAAAGAGGGACACTAAAAAACAAGATGTGGCGACACAGGAAATGATCAACCAGCTGAGGAAAACTCACAATAAAGCCGAAGCAAACATCTCCGTTCTCCTCTCCCAACAGCCACGCGCTTTTCTCGTCGTTTCGAACGATGCCTCGAACAGAGACGCTCTCATTCCAGCTGGAAACRAGAAATTGCATTTGTGGAGTCACACCACGGACAACTTCCTGTCCCCATGGAGGGACAGACGGGGACATTATAGGAGACAAAGTGTTTGCCATGTGAAGCTGGAACCTGTGACCTTRACCAGCTGTGCAGTTGGACATTTCTGTGTTCAAAGTGTTTTCAATTTGTCCACAGGTGGACAGATAGCACCAAGAYATAAAACTCAGATTTAAGACAACCKTTCAAAAAATCCAAAGTAAAAAAAACAAAAAACAACATACTTGCTGCATGTTTGTCTCCAGATGTCCTCATCAGACGTCGGCACGATGCTAATGAACCCCGCATCTGTGACGCCGATCAGCACCGAGCAGTAAACGAACCGAACCATCGGRTGTGATACTTTGTGCGTGGCGACCTTCACCAGACTGGAAGAGAGAGAAAATAAAAACTCTTACTTTGAAATTCAAACATAAATTCATACGGTCAAGTTTTAAGTTTAGAAATGTTTGAGACATTTCTCTTCTTTAAACCTATTTATATACTGAACTTATATCCATACGTTTTATAAGAAATTTGATTTGTACAAAAAAAAATCTGTAGATTTAAAAGGTTCTGTTCAGAAGAAGTCTGTTATCTTAAAAAATGATAGTCCTGTCACTGTAGAAATTTAATTTTATAACCTACAGAACCTAAAAATGTTAAACAATTTTAAAACAACAGTTTTTTGGAAAAGTTGCTCAAAAAACGAACTTCTCAGCATTTGTAGGATTTAAGTGGATAAAGTTTTGATACAGTTTTTTCAGGTTTGTAAATAATTAAAAAATATGGGGGGTAGAGATGATTTCTCTTTGTAGAGTGTCTTGGAAAAATAAATTATCATTTAAAGTTCTACATTTCTTCTCAGGCCAAGAGTCAGTGACCTCTTTTGCTTACCTTAAAATGTTATTATGTTTAATGATTTTACTCTTTATCTTCTGTTTTCTCTCGGACAAAGTGTTTTTAAGATCGGRACAATATCTGTTTAGAAGTAATCATTCTTGTTGCTGTTTATCAAACATCATTCTCTCCTTTGCCCAGTTTTGTCTGTTTGGATAACATACTGTATAAATGTGTGTATTTGAAACTGCCTCAGTGCACACATTTTGTACCACTGCTCTGTGTGACCTGATGTGTGTCTTGCAGTTGCAATAAACCTTGTTGACCATTTCACGGAGTACTTTTTGTTCTTGGATCTCATGTTTCTGTCTAGGTAAAATAAAGATTTCCACGACAATCTTGGCGTCACGAACATAGATTTWTCATACAGGGTACTGTTTACTCCACTTTGGACTCTTGTTGTTGTTGTTTACCTTGCTTTAGTGTGTTGTTGGTTCCACGCCCGCTTCCACACGTCAACAACCATGTGATTCATGTAGCTTACAGCGAACTGCCCGTCAGGCATCGAACCGGCYGCCAAGATGGGTCCGTCTGACGCCTGACAGAAAACACCAACACAGATTAAATCCATTCAGATTTGTTTTTTCTGTCATTTTGAGATGTGGGGCAGTGGTTAGCGTTGCACTGCTAACATGTCACAGGTTCACCTCTTGGCCATTACAGTTGTTTACATGAATCTCCACCATGCTCTGGCATTAGTCCTCAAGCTAACAATACATATATTAGCTCAGGTGCTAGTGCGAAAGCTAACAGGCTAAACTGAGGTCCTTGTTGCATGATAGTGTCAGAGATTAACCTCCAGGTTAAGAAATCATTTACCCAGTATGCTTTGTGGTGTAATTAAAGTGCCTGTRACATCAATTTTTTGTAATAAACATGAAAGCATTTTTGGAAAGAGAACATTGATAAGATATTGCAAAATAAATTTCACGTCACTGAGATGAACCGTTGTTGAGATATTTGCSTGTGAAGAAACAGGAAGTGATGTCAAAGGGGAATGTCTGCTTGTAAACAGAGCGTTGCTACAATAGCCAACAACAGAGACTGTGGAGAAGAATCTAATGTTTCTTTAGATTATTTTGAGCTTCTATCAAAGAGAAATGAAGAAGAGTTCAAGTTTAAATAATACTGATTTAATAAACAAAGACCAGAGAGTTTATTTTATTAAAGAGTTTCCCTTTGATGTCACTTCCTGTTTCCCTTTGGCTSAGCCAAATCCAAAAGAAAATAGGCCTGTTATGAGACAAAATGGGTRAAATCATGTGTACTATGCCAAGTTTCTTAAGAATAAAGATGTTTTCTTTGACTTTTTTGAATTTGAGGGGCAGGCATGTCACAGGCACTTTAAAATGCCGTTATTCCTTTTCCAATATATTTTTTGCATTTTATAAAAACTAAACAGCCCTACTGTATTTTTACAGTCTTTGTTTTATAGTAGAAGTAAATRTTTATCAAATAGTGTCTAATGTTACAAGTAATCAGGGATCTCTTTAAGATCTCCTTGTTCAGGTGTTTGTTTACCTGCTTGTGTCCAACGAGTGCATTCTTTTGCCACAATTCCAGCAAACCGGATTCATAACCAACCAGAACTAAATCCTCCATCTCTGAGAGGCACAGAGCTGAAATGGGGCCTTTTAGGTTCACAGGATCCTCTAAGAGAAAAAAAAATAGTTAAATAAACAGGTCATTTCAATGCTTGAAACACAAGCTGCTTAAGATTTACCTGTGGTCCAGGTCCAGCTCCTCAGGGAGCAGTCTGCAGAAACCGTGAGGAATTCTGGGAGTTCGTTCTTAAGAGCGACTCCGTGAACTGGACCGCTGTGTCCCTGGAAGGTGCTGAAGTGCTCCACCTGGAAGAAAACACAAAAACGTCCAGAATATTCTGTGGGTTAGGAGATAAACCTGTGATTGAACCAGAGAAAATAAATGTGACTTAATCTAAAACTGCAGAATTAACTCAGATCATCATTAAAATCAGTGGATTTAATATGTACAGAGTCACCTGTAAAGGTTTCCAGAGCCGTGCCGTTCCATCGTCAGATGCTGTGAAAACACTTAGTTCTTCTGGTTTTGTTTCTTTTATCTTGTCTAAAACAATAAGACATTTATTTAAAAGTAAGCATGTCTCATATTATAAAACAGGAAATAAAGATAAGGACATCCGGGGTCGCACCGGTGTTTAGGACAGAGCAATGGTGTATTCGCTGCTTGTGAGCCGATATGTGGCAGATCTCYGAGTTTGTTTTCCAATCCCAAACATGCAGAGAGCCTTCTGAACATCCAGCGATCACGTGCTGATCCTGCACGCAGAAAAACAGTCRAATCAGCTTTTATCAAACAACAAAAACCCCTCAGCAAGACTCCATCCTCCTGTAGGGCTGCTGTGTTTATCATTGACTCACCAGGCAGCAGACACAGGTCAGTGGATTCTTCCAGGAGATTTCTCTGAGACACAAACCTGCCTCCAGGTCCCACAAACAAAGTCTGCCATCATTCGAAGAGCTTATCTGAAAAGAAACAGGAAGCAGAGGTGAAACAAGTCTTTATGGAGCAGTTTAAAAATTAAGCTTATTTAGGTTGAAGTTTTCTTAACAAAAAATTAATCCTACTGARAGATTATTTACTAAATCTGATTAGATGCAAATATTGTGTCCAATAGTGTGAAACTTTTCCCACATCTGGCCGTCTATTCATAAATATAGCTCTAAGTTAGCCTTTTGCCAGTTTAGCTCTTAGCTCTTTAGTTACATTTAGCTATTAGCTAGTCTTTAGCCACATTTATCACTCAGCTAGCCTTTAGCCTATTTAGCTCTTAGCTACCCTTTATCCCATTTAGCTCTTAGTTAGCTCTTTGCCACATTTAGCTCTCAGCTAGCTTCTTGCCCATTTAGCTGTCAGCTTGTCTTTTGGCATATTTAGCTCTTAGACTTTTGCCACATTTAACTCTTAGTTAGCTTTTTGCCACATTTAGCTCTTAGTTAGCTTTTTGCCACATTTAGCTCTTAGTTAGCTTTTTGCCACATTTAGCTCTTAGTAAGCCTTTTGCCACATTTAGCCCTTAGTTAGCCTTTTGCCACATTTAGCTCTTAGTTAGCATTCTGCCACATTTAGCTCTTAGTTAGCCTTCTGCCACATTTAGCTCTTAGTTAGCCTTCTGCCACATTTAGCTCTTAGTTAGCCTTCTGCCACATTTAGCTCTTAGTTAGCCTTCTGCCACATTT